GGATGCTATTTTTAGAACAAAAAGGAGGACATGTCCGGGTAAATCCAGACGAATGGTAACCCTATTTTTGGGTTACCATTCCCATGTGATGTTGGAAACACAAACACAACAGCATGGTGCCAGCACATGGAAATGAAAGTGATTAAACCATAGTGAAAGGAACCAGCTTAGCTTGTTAAATACAAAGTAAAGAACAAAAATGGGTGAGTTTCCCACTGATGAAGACTCCAGTTCAGCAGCCCTAGAGGCTGAAGTCTGTCAGAAACCAGGTTGCACAGGCAGTGGTAAAGCAAGCTTCCCCTACTCTGCCCAGCCCATGGGCCTCCCAGACAACCTCTAGGACTAGATTAGTCTGCAGGCTGACTCAATGCTTAGCTTCTCTACTGAGACAGCCAACAAAGGTACCGTTGTGTTGGGTGTTTTTTGGTGGACCCCTGTCAATTAAGAACTGGACTGAGATGAACAACTCCTTTCAGACAGGACACTATACAGTCATCCCTTTAATAATCAGAGTTATTAGGGGTAAGGTCGAGATTGTGGCTGGCCCTTGAAAGTTGTGTAAGAGGAGATGTGCATAAGGAGCTTTTACCTGTAGCACAGGGTCCAGCCACAACTGCAGCCCCTGTGCTCTCCTGTTATGCAGAGAGCACTCCCTGAAAACCAGCTGGAGCCATTAGCCATTGCAAAAGGAGCAGGGAGGAGGCTTGGCACTAGCACTATTGTCCCCTTTACACTGACCGGCAGAGCTGACCAGTCATGGAGCGGAGTACTGAAAAGAAGGTGCAGAATCTGCATTCTCCAGGAGCTCAATGCCTCTCGGAGCTGCTTCTGGGGCTGTGCAGTCTGCACTGCCTCTAGATCCATAGATTCCAAGGTCAGAAGGCACCAATGGGATCATCCAGTCAGACCTCCTGAAAAGCACAGGCCAGTTCGTAACCCATTTCATGTTGATTTTGTATCATTCTAGTTGCTTTAATCGAAATGTCATGCAGTAGCAAGTCAAACGCCTTCGGGAAGTCTAAGTGTATTAAGACAACACCATTGCCTCTATCAGCCACACTTATAACTTCATCAAAAAAAAAAAGATATCAAGTTAGTTTGACAAGATTTATTTTCTGTAAACCCCTGTTGCATGGCATTATATTATGCTCTTTTAATTGAAGTCCCATATCAACCACTCCATTATTTTGCCCGGGATCAGTAGCAGGCTGAGAGGTCTATAATTCACCAGGTGAGCTCAGGGTGGGCCCCTCTCAGTTTCTTCTGTTGAAGCTGTTCCAATTTGTATAAATAATTAAATAAGCAAACTTGGGTCTCCCACATGCCAGGAGAGTATCCTAATTATCAGTCAATCTCTCTCTCTTTCTCCCTGTGGCCCAATGAATATTTATTTATTACAAAATGGAATAGCTTTGACAGGCGAGCACCCTCCCCCAGAATATCCAATAGTCTGGTGGTTAGGGCACTCAGATGGGAGAGCCAAGTTCAAGTCCCTGCGCCAAATCAGGCAGAACAAGGATTCAAAGGCAGGTGAGCGAGTGTCCTCATTAGGGGGTGTATTTTGAGACGCACATTCCCAGCCTGGAAAATTCCCAATCTGGTCACCCTTGGCTGCCTTGTGTGTGAGACCCCATCCAGTAGGCATGCTCTGAGCACTCCTACTAGATTGGGCCCTGCAGACAAGATAGGCAGAGGAATGCGTAGTTGAGAATCCTGCTGACACTTAGGTGTGAGTTAGGGTGCGCTCTGCACTGTCATGACTTAGGCAGTTTTGTGCATGCCCTCCAGCAGAAACTTAAGCACCTAGGAGACTTTGGCAGCAGAAACTTGGGCACCTAGGGAATTTAGGTGGCAACTAAGCAAGGGTTTGGAGGATCACAGGTGTGCCTAAATGTTGGATTTAAGGCACAGAACTGCCACTTTAGGTGCCTACATCCCTTTGTGAATTTAGTCTTTAGAGACCCTTAAAAATCTCATCCTACATTTGCAAACATGAAAATTTCAAGCAGTGACTGGGGAATGGAATTATTTCAAGCCTTTTTGGAATTAATTTCTTTCAACTTCTCATGACATTGATTCAAGGTTTATAATCTCTGCTTCCTCTTAAGATAACTTAGAGACAACCCACTGCTAGCAAACAGTACCAAAACAAAACAAAGTCCTCCCTAAAAAAAAATGTACAATGGTCAAGAGAAACCTTGGATAAGGAGGAGAAAAAAAAATACACACACACAAATTGAGTCAGTACAATAGATAGTAAGATTTATTTGTTGATTTCCCATTCAGCAAAGTTTTATCTGTCAATCTGCCACAATTCCAAAAAGGAATTATCTCCAGACGCCCCATGTTCTCACACACTGTGCCAATGCAGACAACGTGACTGGAGACCTGCATGTGGGAACTTGCCTTTTACAGGACAACTTAAACCAAAATCCATGCCCACTGCTATCTGATTCACAGCAGTGCCTGGATTTTCACATTGTTCGGTGTAACCTACTCTCAGCTCTTGAGCATCCAGTGGAGAACACAACTTTTCCTGTTTCTGCAGAGTAGCCGAGGGAGTTCAGTTCCTTGCGTGAGAAGGTGCTGCTGAAAAAGGTTCTCACACTGAGCCGTCTAGAGACACAATACAGTTTTTCCTTTACAGCGTCTATCAGAAATAGCTCTCGTCCTGTACTTTGAGGCAAACGCTTGTAATCATCAGACCAACTATGCTTCTCCTTCACCAGTGCTATTAATAGCATGTTGTTCCCTCTGAAGAAAGACAAAAGAAGAATGACGGGACCTGGTGTTTGATCACATTTTTTCTTTCTCACTGTTGCTGCTTTATTTTTTTTTCATTCTGAGTTTTCTGAGCTTCAGCTGGTTTTTTCCAGTTGGGGGTGAGGGCTTGGAATCCTCATTGTTTTCAGTTATGTGCCCATCCTTTCTGTGTAAACAAGCAGGCCTTCTCCAAGTCCACCGAGCAGAAGACTGTAAACAAAGCAAGGTGTAGCTTTACTACTGATTAAGTACGCACACTTGATAGAAAGGCAAACGGCAGAGCATCAAAGGAAAGGAGGAAGTTTGTTTGCCTACATGCGTGTGCTTCATCAGGGTGACATTACAGAACCCCAGCATTTTTCATGACGATAAATTTTTTCACTCAGAGTGCTAAGAAATGGTTGAAACCAGAAATGGCTTGTTTCTTCAGATCTCATTGAGATATTTCCCCTCCAACATTTTAGAGATGGGTGCATATATGTGTAAATATATAGACACAAATAGCTGCTTTATTTATTTATGTTAAAATAATTACACAGGCACGTATACACTGAAGGGAGGGAGGGAGAAGGAAGGCTTTGAACCTCATCTGGTTATTGATATAAGTGCAGACTTCCCCTTAGCAATTTCCGTTTGTATTCTAACTTGAAAATGGACTCACTGCTTGACAAAAATGGGAAGGGAGATAAACTCTCCTGCTTTTGGGAAATGAACCAACATCTAACTGACAAGGTTGGGAAGAAACTTCCACTCTGGGCAGGTTATGCTGGACTAGCTGACCAATAGAAATGCCTGCATACTTACTGGGCACTTACAGAAGAGCTGGCACACTGAACTGTTCTAACCGGAGCAGTGTGTGCACCAAGGCATATCCCTAACTCCTGTTTCTCCTGGCACAATGATGGCTCTTTCGTTCCCGCTCTCACCCTGGTCTTGGGAGCAGCTAGCATTGGAAGCAGGGTTCCAAAGCTAGCCGAGTTCAATGGAATTGTCTTTGTTTATATAAATGTCAGTCATCAGCCCGTCCATCTTGTGCAATAGCTAGTAATCCCCAAATCTCCTCTGAAATCACATCCAAGAGGAATATGGTGGACTGCTGGCTCATCTCCACTTCCATTGCAACAGTGAAAAACTAAATGTAACGACTTTGCATTTTAGCCTCACAGCTTAGTTAGCTTATGAAACAGCAAAGCTCCTTATTAAACTTTATAAATAAAACAAACTTCTGTACAGGTTACTGGTAAGAAGGCGCTTATTTATTTATATTATTCAAAAAGTATGTATAGCTGACAAGGTTGTCCGGACATTAATAGTATTATATTAACTTAAATATTAGTGTCAGTGAATTGTTTATAAACACCATGATTCCCGAAAGATGCAAACTTTATATAACAGTTGTACAGTATACTATTAATACAATGATACTATTGTGCAGTATAAAGCCCTGGAGGGGTAACTGCTAGGGATATGTCAACTTTCACATTCAGAGACAGTCCACTTTTGGCTATGGAACTATCATTAAGAAGCAATGCACTGTTAGAGGTGCAGGCTTTCAAAAGAGGTTTCAAGCCAAGAGCCTGGTCACTTGTAATCATTACAAATTCATGGCACTTTTCTCTGGAAACCATTAGCCTAAGTTTCCCACCTAAATTTCAGCTCCAGTTATTAACATTTATCTGCATTAATTCCTTCTGAAATTACAAGTGGATAATATGTTCTTCTTCTTTATCCCTACAGGAAAATCCTATAGAGTTCAATGGGGATTAAACCAACAGGGTCCCATAGAAATTACACTGAGAGAGAAAGAGTACTTTCTACTTTGTATAGAATTTTTAATAGACAGTTTAATAGAGAATTAGATCTCTTCAAAAAAATTCTATAGATTGACTTAAAAATTCAATAGAGAAGATATCATTCACTATCAAACTCTATTAACTAGGACTTTTCCATAAGGGCACTTCCTGGCTAGTCTACTGTGTTAACTGCTGTAATGTTCTATTTCAGAGGTGGCTGCACTGCAGCGGTCAGTAAAAAAAATGGGTATACCAGGAGAGCTACCATATCTGTAGCATCAGTAGCTGGGTACATAGTAAAGTGATTGTGGGTGGTTTGGAATGAAAGGCATAAATGTGTGGTTTCTATTATGATTTCTCTTTGTGTATTTATGTATGATCACTTATCAGTCTCTATCCTCAGCCATATAACATGATCTTGCTAAGTACCTCTCACCAAGCTTTAAAAATATAGGTACTGTCCTCTTAGGGGGTTGCATGGGAATATAGTAGCTCACTCTGTGTGCTGCCCTTTTACAATCTGGCCATCAACCAAGAGAAGAGGATGAATGTCCTTGCATTCAGGGATGCTACATGTGGCTCTTCCAACCTTGGACAGTGGTTGCCAAATACCCTAGTTTTGCAGTGGTAGCACGGGATACCAAAACATCCACCACAACACTTTCTAACACTGCCATTAATTCACCTGTTGCTCATGCCAGGCACTAACTTCCTTGTGCATGTAAAAAAGACTGGTGAGGGCCACAAAAGCAAGAAGAGTCCAACAGTGTTTCTACAGAGACAGAGTCAGGGTTAGATTATCACGAGACCCTTAACTTTTGAATTTTTCTGATTCTTGGAAAGTTCAATACTTTTTCTTCAAAACTATTATACTTCAGGCTCTACATCCTGTATCTACATCCATTATCCACAGATCCTTTAGTATGCTGGATTTTATCCATATTTCCCCTTCCTGTCTCCCACTTCATCATAATCCTCTGGCTGAGGTTAAACAAAATTTTCTCTGTAATTGTTACCAACACACTGCTTTGTGGATTATCCACAAGAGTTGAGTAGTAAAAACAGGTTAGATCTGAAATCTGCTCCTTTGCTTAAATGTACCAGTGTAATGTATAACCACCAGACCACCGAGCTAGCAGAAGCCTTCATTTGAACTTCAAAATGGAGTACTGTCAAGTAATGTACCCTCAACCCTGGATTTACCTTACATTTAAAATATGGTGAATCCTTTGGATACTGTTAATTAAGGGATGAGAGTTATAAGCACCATGCTGTCACTGAGAAACTAACACACGAAATGATAGCCACTGTTAATGTTGGACCTACACCAAAAACCCCTGTGGTTTGTGCTCTTATGATTGCTTTGCAGCTGCCGTAATCTAACAAACCTTATTCCAAAACTCTGCTGAAATCCCTGATGCTACTGGTGCACACCCAGTAATGGAAGACAAAAAATATTTTTTTTAAAAATCACCTTTTTGAGTTCTCAGCAATCTGAACATAACTCTGGGCTGAGGTCCCAAGCAAAGTTTCTTTTAAAATATTAATCTGTTACTTATGTATGGTAAACACATAAACTTACACATATATTATATACATACAAATGTATATAGGGTGTCATGTGCATATTGTGTGTGCAATTATGTATGTGTTTATACTATATCTATATGTACACACAGACATATACATATACACATACACTGATCTGTATGCATGTGTATTATTTATGTCAGTGCATGCATGTATATATATCATATATATGCAATATACACACACATATATATGCATGCTTGCTAATGTCCTGGGCTGGGTGTGCTGCTGTTTTCAGCCTTTGGCAACACGTCAGCAGGATGTACTGAGTTACGTACACATGGCCACAGAAGTGACCTTTTGCAATTGCAGAAAAATACAAAAGATTTATTTTGGCATTTCTTATAAAAAAAAGAGCCCAGTTTGACTTTAAAGTCTGCTTTCTGCAACTTGTTTTAACCTATGAGCTGTAGCTGAAAAAAAAGCAACATGAGAAATTGTTTGGGGAAAAAGGGTAGAAATGAAATGTCAGCTTTGCATAAATTTATTTTATATACATTTCACTATAGTTTTTCAAGGTCTGTTAGTGAAAAGCTTCATGTACAGAAAGCTTTAGAAGCAATGGATGCATGTTGGTGGAGGAAGAATTTTAATACTTTGACTTTCCATTAAAGAGGTCACATTTCACAATGATTCTCTGCCTTGGTGTGATTAGGCATTAATATATAAAGATAACTAAGAAAGAACCAAATACAGGAAGGAAATGAGTGGTTCGTTGACTTGGAAATTCTTTAAAACAATGAAGGAAAGTCAAGCACAAAGCAAACTGGATTATTTGTGGAAGGAGGATTATTTTTCAGTTACAATGGACACACAATCACAGTTGTATAGTACAGACAAAGAGCTTAGTCCTTCATTCACTGAACCCAATCAGAATTTCTCTGCTGACTTCAGTGAGAGTTGGATCAGATCTTCAAAAATGTCAAGGTAAGATGAGAATGAATATCTACATAATACAGACTGGAATTAATTTTCTAATGTAGTGTCTAAGAGACTAGTTCTGTTTGTGTTACTCACATTGGGTGAAATTTATCCCTTTATGGACAGTCAGCACAAAGTTCATGCACCTCAAGTCCCCAAAATTTGCATGCCCATGTTTTGCATGGCTTAAAAACTCAAATCAGGGTAGTTGTATGCACAGTAGCTTGATTTGTTGCATTCACATGGTTAACAAATGCAAATCTAAGATTTTAAGTGCACAAAATACTTGGTCCCACAATTTTGGGCCTAACATCATTACCACTGATATCAAATCTTGAAAACAAAATACGGTGATTTAATTCATTGCAAAGCAGAATCTCTGTGGCGCCAACCATACTATGAGGAAAACAAGAAGAGTCTGGTCTAAACGTCTGTAAAAGTGAGAGGCTTTGGACTTTCAACAGTATCTCCATTTCTTGAGATACACCTTATTTATTAATTAATAATAATAATAATAATGTTTCTATTGCAGTAGTGCTGAAGTTATGGAACAGGACCCCATTGTGCTAGGCACTATACAAACACAGAACCAAAAGATAGATTGTAAGTATTGGGGCAGGGACTAAGCATTGATACCATTCAATAAGAATTTTGATTTGGGAGATTCTAAATTTGTTAAGCAGACTCTTTATTACCAAATCCCATGTACTGCTTTGGACGGAGGTATGTATTATTTATTGTTATTTCATTTTATTCTTTGTATTCGCAGTCCACGCTATGTTAGGCACTGTCCATGGACACCCACAGGAACACATATGACATTGGTCAGAATGTCAGAGTTCCTGAAAATCAGGACTTCTCTGTTCTATTCCAAGCTCTGTCACTAACTCACTGGATGAGTCATTTAACTGCCCTTTGCCTCACTTTATCTAGCTTGTAAAATGTGTATAGTCAACAATATCTCACAGAGGTGTCATGAATTGTAACATCTGTAAAGAGTTTTGAGATCCTCTAAAGAAATGCTGTTCTTTTCAGATAGATTATTATACCATGCCCATCACCATGGTGTCTGAACACCTGGCTCTTCCTCTGTGCAAAATATTTTTGCTACTTGTCAGACTAGCCTTTTAAAAAGCATTTCTGGGTAAAATAATGAGTCTTGTAAAGAAATTCAATAGAAACTTCAAAATAACCATACAAATTTCAGGAAATTACTTACCAACAAACTGTTGGTACATTAACAGTCATGCCAAAGACAAATGGTGATAAACCAGCTGTGGTAACCTGTAAAATTAACAAGAAGAAAGGATTTGCCTGATATCATCATTGAAAGTTGCAACATCTTTGTTGAGATTAACTTTGTACAGGTGCACTCACACTAAGTATTTGTTTACCCCCAGGTCAGTAATCTAGCCATAACACAGATGTTCAGTGGGAAGGAGAAACCCATTGGGATGTAGAATCTGCTCATCAGGAAACTACCACTTCTATCAAACCCCTCCCCACTGACTTATGACCCTCTGGGAGGCATGTGCAGGCACATCTCCTTGCCCTGGCCAGTAGAAGGAAGGGGCAAAAACTATGAAAAGAACCTTATCCTGGAAGTGACCTAGCACTTAGGGAAGCAGGGTCCACACGGCAAGCCAGGAGCAGCAAGCACACTGAATACAGCAGAAACCACCGGGGAACTGTATGCAGAGCAGGCTGCAGCAGCAGCCAGGGAATCACAGGTGGAACGGGATGTGACTGTAGGACATTGCAGCTGGGTTCAAGTCTGCACAGAACTTGTGGAAAAGCAACAGAGACTGGGCAAGGAGCCAGTGCTGAGGGGCCCCAACGAGATAGATCACTAACTGATCCTGGCCAGGAAATCTGTATTCTCCTATTTGTCTCTAGCAGAGACTGGACTGGAGAGGCATGCCAGGCACTGGGCCTGAGGAGCCCTAACCCTCTAGCAGACTACCACTGTTTAAGCCACAGTACCTAGCGTATTGCAACCTTCCCCTTCCTGCCAGCCCTAGTAAAGTACCCCTTCATTTAGCCACATGTCCGAATCATTATTGGGACCTACCAAGGGCCTATAGGATGTAGCATCTGAAAGGCCTTCAACTCTTGCCTCTGAGCAGGGGTACACCCAGCACATCACTCGGATCATCAAGGTTTAGTGTGCCACAGCACTACCAGCTGTAACAATTACATCAGGATGGAGTAAAGGTGAACAAGACTTGAGGATGATAGGAGATAGTGCATTAGACATGAATTTACATTGCACTATTGGAGGGGAAAAGGCCAGTGCACTTTTGGTCTGCAAACACAGGAGCATCAGGCTAGGTCCTCCACAGTAAACAAGTTGCACTCAGGGTAGTCTAGGAGGATGAGGTGATTTTATGCCATCTTTGCAGTGGTCTGATTTCAGGGATAGCTGGAAACTAGGCCAGATCCAATGTATGAGTGAGCAGTCTCCAGGCATGTCCCTGTCCCCCCATGGCCCCAAAGAGCTGTTCTGGCAGCCAGGGATATAATGATATCCATATATAATGAATGGCTCCTTGGCCATGCTCTCTTTTCCCCAAACACTCCCCCTACAAATGGGGCAGGTGTCAAAGCTGCTATGCCGGCCCTCTGCCATGTGAGGACTCCCCTTACTGAGGAAGAACCCCCCCACCACACACACAGGCAGAATCTTCAGGCAGCCAGTTAAGCTGGTTTTAAAGCTGCTTTGTGTCACTGGTAGAACAAAGCAGGGAGAACAGGCCCCAGATATTGCCCACCATATTATGGTATCTATCCCTGACTCAACAGCGCCGTTGCTACCACAGCTGCAGTGCTGCATTAAGTTCTGGGAACCTCATTGCCAGACCAATAACATAAAATGGAAGGAGTTCTGAGAACAGTGACAGAAGTGATCAGGGAGAAGGAATTGATTTTCAATGAAAGATTAGGATAAATAATGTCTATAGAAAAGGATGACAAGGTGACAGTCTACACATGCAAACATTGACGAGTGAAAAGGATTGTTTAGGGTAGTACAGCAGGGTATAACAAGAGTAACAGGATGAAGCAAAATATTTAGACAGTTATCAGGAAAGATTTCCTGACAGTAAGATTTATTAGCTTGTCTAATTGTCTCTCAAGGGAGTGCTGGAAACCCAGGCTCATTTAAAACTTGACAAAACACTAGCATAAGTGCAACGGGGAGCATGAAGCCATTTCAGAGCAGACTCTGCTTCACAGTAACTCTGAGTTACATTGTTAGCCCATATCGGTTACATTTATGAGATCATTGCCCTTTCAAAAACAGGCTCAGACCCCTGAGTCTCTCTGAGCTGTTCTCAGCACAAGACCAGGACCAAAAGGAAAGGTGGCTCTGGGCCATCTCTCCACTCCCTGTCCTGAGGCCAACTGGGGGCTGAACCAAGTAATCCAAATTATGTCAGCTAGAACAGTTTCATGGGAACCGCGATGCTGGTTGGGAACTATCCAAGCACAGTGCACCCCAGCCAGGTCCTCTTCTGCCCCAGCCCACCAAGGAATGCCCCCTACTCCTGCGAGAGGGGAGAAAGGAGAAGAGATGCCCATGCTGGCTTTATGCCACCTAAGAATTGCTGTAAATTAGGGAAAACTCCAGAAATTCCCGTTTGTATCGCTGGAGCAGTGCAAAGGGGACAAAGCCAGGGATGCGCATCTGACCCAGCATGTGTAGCATTGGGACGTCCGGTTTACTGCATGGAATTATTGTAATTAATGTGGCCATATGTATCTCTAACTGACATAATCTACCTGGCCATCTGTCTTAGGTGTTTCTAAAGCGCCGTCCTATACCTTAACATGGGCAAAGCTGTAAAGCATGAAATTAAGAGAATAATTAAGCCGCCTCTCCATGAGAACATTTCACTACAAAACACCTATGTAATGTATAGGTCAAAACTCACTAGTTATCTGTGTTTTTCTCACCTTTATATCCATATGCCAATGAAAATTAAACAAAAAAACAAGGGAAAAGGTCCTAACTATAGCTACACTGCAGGCTCCAAAATGCTGCAATGTTAGCACCCAAATGAGATTAGTGGAGGGTGGCACAGTTCACTGTTCTCAGAGTCACTGCTTGAGGCTATCTGCAGACTCAGGAAGACAGAATGCAATAGTTTGCATGCCATTCACATTTGGAAGGTTATCTTTGCAACCAGCAAGGCTAGAAACTTACTGAAAAAAAAATTATGCTCAGATATTAGAGAATCTGAGTATGTCATGCAGGTCACATATACCCAGCCTGGTTGCTGTATTTATTTGTATAAAATATTTGTATAAAATCTAAGAACCTGCACCTTACCGTAATGGGTTTGATTTTGATCTTACATACATTGGTGTAGCTTTATTAATTTTAGTGGAATTACTCCTGATTTACTTAAGTGTAAGTGAGAGTGGAGTCAAGTGTACTGAGCTTGCATTACACTAATGCTGGGGTAGTAGGCTGAGAAGTATAATGCTCATTCCCAAGCACGTAAATAGAAATCAGTATAGGATGGATGCTATGATAGTTATAGAACTACTTATCTTTTAAAACAGTTTGCTATTCTTTCACTATAAGGAACTAAAGTGTCATTTTTTAGAGTGACCCAAGGTATGGTTATGTCACATTGTAGAGTTGTGTTTACAGGTAACTTGACAGGAGGCCAAAAAAGGGAAACAGATAAATGACAAACTAATTGAGAACTGCCCTTATTAAAAATATTATACTATTCTACAGTAATCACCCGCAAACCGCTGCACAAACACTATTGTAAGCTGTAGCCTTTTGGACAATTACTGTAGAACACTTGTATTGTTTACTTATATAAGAATGTCTTGATGCCAAATAGAATCAAAATGTCTCTGAGAGCAGAAGTACTAAGTGTACGCAAGAAAAAAACAAAAGGAAAAAACATTCTGCACAGAAACTTCCAACTTATCTTTTTCATTTAAAAAAAAGGAAACGTTTGAAAATGAAAAACAAATTTTCAGGGAAATCAAGCTTGTAACTTGCTCTAGGGTGAAATTGGGAACACCTGGCTCCAGTCCAGAAGCTAATTTTTCTTTTACTAAACTTAAACAAAATGTGTTGACCTGTTTTTAATTTACATGTACATTTACTTATACTTATAAAGAAAGCCAGAAAAAGGCACATATCCACATGCTCTAGGTGCCCTTGACATAACTTTAAAAACACATCCTAAGTGTACCAGTTTAGGATTGCTCTCCATAATCTCCCTTTTCCCCTAAAATAATTATGGCACATCTTGTAATACTTAGGAAAGAACAATTTCTAGTCATCAAAGCATTTGCGTCACCTGACGCTGTTATTGAAAAATAATTTCAACCCCTATCCACACGAAAAGAAAAAAAAAGCTTTCTTTAAAAAGCAATCACTCTTAAGAGAAATAAGATCATTAGTAACATGTGTCTCAGTAACACAACTTATTTAGACTTGATATTTTGATCAAACCTACCTATCTTAATTCCAGCTATTTCTGTCAATCCAATTGCTGATCTATCTAGATGTAACTTTACATGTAGGCAGAACAAACAGCTCAGGAATAAAGACTACAGTACTATTGGTACATATCGCTAAAGAGTGTTTGTCAAAATCTTAACTAAAAACATAGCCACATCCTCTGGAAATGTTGTAGGGTGAAACATATAGGTACAGCATCCAAAGTGCCTGGAAACTACCTTGATTTCAGCATGTTTTTAAGGCCATCACTTTGCTTCCTCCTATGGTCTCTTGTATTCTCAGATAAAATAGGATCATATACGTCAATTACACTTTGTATTTGCAAATCTGCTTTTGTGAATTCATGACCCTTGTTGATTTGCATCCTCACATTATGACCAATTAGAGTTCAGTACTGACTGGTTTTAAAAGGAGCCCCATCCAGTCCTCCTCATCCAGAAAGATGGTATTCATGGCCTGGCAACTGAAGAGTGAAGGTGTAATAACAGGAGCAAATGTGGAGAGGGATCCTCAGAGGACCTTGGTGGTGTAAAGAAACATCCCTACCATTCATAAAAGGAGGTTTTGCTTTTAAAAAGATGTTTCTGTGGTCTCCATCTCTACAGTACTCAGTCACTCCACAAATGTTAATGAACTAGGCCTCACAACCCACCCATAAAGTAGGGAAGTATTAATATCCCATTTTACAGCTGGAAAAACTGAAATACACAGAGTTTAAAAGCAAGATTGCATCTTGCCCAATGCACCTGTGCTACTGTGATTCTCAGGATCATGATTCATTCCTTGGTTAGCTTCTGGGGCAGTGCAAGTAGGTGCTGCCCTTTAGGGTAGACGGTAAATTGACAATCTAGCCCTAAATGACTTGTCCAAGGTCTCTCAGGCAGTCTGTAGCACAGCCAGAAATTAAGCCAAGATCTCCTGGTTCCTACTATTGTGCCTTATCCATGAGTCCATTTGTACATTCTGGAGCAGGAGGGTAAAAGGAAAATCCTTAACCTTCTGAGAATTCACTCCCTGCACATCAACCCTCACCAACTAGTCAGTTTTCTCTCAATTATCTCTAGGATGTTCTCAAGCTACAAAATTTGGATCTGAATTTTAAATACCCCAAAGTTTACAGATGTTCAGATCCAGGGTTTTCGTTTGGACCATTATAAAGGTAAGGGCCATTTGCAAACTTCAGATCCATATCCGGTTCAGATTTTACCATCTTACTCCAGAGTTCAGGGGTGTATGCAAGATTTTGGTTTAGACTTATCTGATTATTTAACATGGCAATATTATTTCACTGTAGCCTATAAAAAGTACTTATTTCCTTTAATTCACCATATCTTTGTTAGAAAACATAATGTCATAGTTCTCACCAGCTCTTATAGTAATTGAATATGGAATAATTTATAAAGAAGTTCCCTTAGTTTACTTACCCAAAGCCAATCCATTTAACCTCACTTCCCCAATCTGTCAAAACGTCTATACCCTTTTGAAAATATGTATTTTTCAAAAGACAGTGTTTTGAAACAACCTTTCAAGTTCACTCACTGATCAAAAT